TTTTACCAACGTCCCTGCCAACGCCGCTGTAGAAGCCGCATTGCAAAAACTGTAAAACGACCCCAGCCTCCCAGAACACATGGCGCTAACACCTGCTCAAGTCGCAGACCTTCTGAATTTCGTTTTAAGATCCACATACTCTTCGACACCGCAGTTTTAAGAGATCCTTACGGCTGCCTTACCAGTATCGTATATAGGAAGCCCACACACTAATAATACTTATCGTATGACTCACACCACCCACAATCAGTAAAACATGGTATTGTTAAGTATTTCCACGAGCGTATCAACGCCTCCTAACGAAACCCTCTGTCATCTCTAAGGAAAAGAAACATTTTTTAACCACTCTTACGTCTAATGATTACCCTATTTCTTTCTTGCAGAAAGTCACCAAGAGCAGAAAATCTACCGCCGCTTCCGAGTCCGTAATCGATTTCAAATCCACCGTAGTGTTACCTTATGTTAAAGGTCTTTCGGAACAGCTTCGCCGCTGCCTACAACAACAAAGCGTACGCGCTGTCTTCCAGTCGGAAATCATAATATATGATCACACGGCTGGTAAGAGCAAAAGACGCTGTGGATCCGGCCAAACAAGACGATGTAGATTACAGGATTCCCTTTGAATGCGGCAAAGTTTACATCGGTGAGACTGGAAGACCAATGCAAGACAGAATAATGGAACACGACCGAGACATCCGACTAGCTTGTACCCGAACCTCCGCCATTTTATAGCACGGCTACAACCGTCACCAGACACCAACCGCTTTCAAATGAGGTTAGGTTTATTGATCGAGATCCTCACTGGTAAACTCGCAGGGTGAAAGAGGCAATTCACATAAAATTTAATCCTTAGAGCATCGATGAAGGCAGTGGAATAGAAATTCTTGAAGGGTGGATGGGCACGATCAAGAAACACAACAACAGGAGAACCGTACGACAGCTGACTGGCGAGAGAGCGTCGCATCTGACCGCCGCCCAGTTAGCCCAATGGATAGTGCTCTGGACTGTTGTGCGGGAGGTCGAGGGTTCGAGCTCCGGCCGGACCAACACTCAAGG